ATCTGGTGGAAGATCTGGTGGGAGATCTACGCGGCGATCTGGATAAAGATCTGGGGGAAGATCTGGGGGGAAGATCTGGGGGAAGGTCTGGGGGGAGATCTGGGCGAAAACATCTAAGCGAAGATCTGGGGGACGATCTGGGGAAAGATCTGGAGGAAGATCTGTGGGAAAAGGTCTAGGGGAAGATCTGGGGGAAGATCTGGAGGAAGATCTGGGGAAAGATCAGGGAGGAGATCTGGAGGAAGATCTGGGGGGAGATCTGGGGGGAGATCTGGGCGAGGATCTGAGGGAAGATCTGGGTGAAGATCTAGGAGGGAATTTGGGCGAAGATCTGGGTGAAGATCCGGGAGGGGGACTTTTGGGGGAAAAGGAAGAGAAGATCAGAATAACGATCTGGAGGAAGACCTCAAGATCTGCGTGACGATCTGGGAGGAGATCTGTGTGAAGATCTGCGGGGAGATCAAGGGCAACATCTGGGGGAAGATCTGGGTGAAGATCTGGAGGACAATCTGGAGGACAATCTGGGGAAAGATAACCGTGACCATCTTTTAAACTAGGTTTTCGAGTACCACTCGCGCGATGACGGCAGGGCATGAAACAAAACAAGGAGTTTTAAAACTTTGATTTTAGAGTAGGCCCGCGAAACTGAGCCCGGGCATGCCGTCCTAGTTTTTGTTTTAACGCCCTGTATGTAGAGAACGCAGGCATTGGAGTCGAAGGGCTTACCAAGGAGGTCGTAAAACAGAGCAGTGCGCGCTGGGCGCGGCCTTCAGGAGGTGGTTCTGCCAAGCTAGGAGCGAGCATCAACGACAAGTTTGCCGTCGTCAGCAGCTCAGCCGACATCAGACAGCAAATCGCGACGCAGCTGAAGTTGGAGCAAGGCTTCTGTTGCTCCCATCGCACTAAGGACCACATCCCAGAAATAATTTCGAGCACCCAGAAAAGTGTCGAAACAGCGTCGAATGAGTGTCGCCTCCCAGGGCCCGACACGTGAAACCCTCAAGCTTCGGTACTTTTCTGGTACTCGAAATTCTTTCTGGTGGTCAAGGCCAAAATAGGTTGGACCATCATCAAGCAAGGCGCCATCAAGCATACTACGAGCTTTCTGGGGACCGCCTTCGCGGCAGGGCGAGACGGGCGGCGCCGAGGGCTCGGGCCAAGACCAGGGCTCGAGCAGAGCGGCACCAGAACGGGCGGAGGAAGCCGGACAGGCTTCGGAGGGCGATCCCGACGAAGGCCTGTGAACGTACTGCACGCATCCACAATGCGGGGGCCAAGCCAGCGCCTCGCGCGCTCGCATTCGGCGAGGAGGAGAGCGGCATGAGCAACGCAGAGGTGGAGAAGTTCATGAAGACGTGCCGGCGCCAGGAGAAGCCCTATCATGGGGGTATCTCGGCGTCGGCCAAGGTGGTCCTGCTCGGGGACCTTGCAGCACGAGAAGCACTAGCCCCCGCCCTGCAATGGTGCCGAATGTGTTGGACCGCAATGCACTGCCATCATGCGACTACGGTCGACATGGACGAACTACAAGTCTGGTAGTAGCAGGCGGTGAGTATACCGGGATTGGTGGAGAAATGAAACCATGCGAGGGGTCCGCTTCAAAGGGCGGCGGTCAGTGTACAACGTGCGGATTGGCAAGTGATCTGTGGCACATCATGGCGGAACCACAGGGTCGGCCTGATGGACATGACGCAGATGACGCCACTCATGCTGGAGGTGCTCCTTACTCCAGGCCTACCTCGTCACCATGAGCTGGCACTGGGGGCTAATTGGTATGGCGATCCTGGGTTGCGAGTGTCCTTTACCTTCCTGGGACAGGCAGTCAGACCAGTAAGCAGGAGAGACTCCAGGCGTCAGAAGTTCTGCATCATGAGCTGCGCATGCGATGGGGCATGGACGCGAATGAGGGTCAGCGCAAGGAGGCTACATCACGGATGGCAAGTGCAAATGCGAACAGGAGGATACCCTGGCGTACAAGTTGGAGGAGTGCATGCATCCTGAAGCCGTGGCTGCACGTCAGGAGGCTGAAGTGGATGAAGCAGTTCTCCAAGCAGTGCGTGAGGCAGGTGACGACGAGCACGTGCTGAGGGACGGCTTCACGTTCAGGGGGAGATTGCGAAGATGGACCTCGGCATCCAGGTGTGCATCGTGGACAGCGGTGGCGAGGATGTAGCTGAGGGCCCTGCGGAGATGGTGAAGTCGGTGGCGGCCAACGGAGCTGAAAGGGCCGAATTCGGGATCGACGGCTGCTGTTCCGAGCCTCTCCTCCTGGAACTGCAGAGAGCAAGATGGGTCACGGCACTTCTGGATCCTGAAGGAACGGAGCTGTCCAGGGAGATGGGCGCTCCAGTCCCTGCAAGTCTGCCTCAGGCGTCGGCGATGGCGGAGTACCTGGCCTCTGCAATTTCGGGGCAGATCACGGATATGATATCAGTAATGAACGCCGATTTTGAGGGCACCATCCATGCTTTCAACAAGTCGGTGGATCAACGTCAACGAGTATATGTCAACCAGATGTATGGTGGAGTCTTCGCATTCGCACAACGTACGCCTGGTTTTGCGCAACTAGTAAATGTCAAACACGTGAAGGCAAACATACCTGGAGAGGATCATGCTGGTCTGGGCGAGCACACAAAGCGAATGACGAACGCCAACGTCGCAGCTGCCCACGTCGCGGGGATGGGCGCCCGAAGGCACACTGAGGTGCATGCTGATGTCCAGAAGCGAATGTACGAGATGGCTAATTACTGCAGTGGCTTGGCAACGCTAATCGATAACGTGCTGCCGCTCCCTGATCAAGAAGAGGAGCGATGGCAGAGGAACACCACGGGATACAAGAAGGTCAAGAGCATCAGAGCTGGCAACTGGCATGACTGGCACGACACAGAGCTCGGACGACAGCGTCGTGGATGTCTGCGAATGCACAAGCAGTGGCAACGACGAGGTCAATGGCTGCAGCGGTACACCAGCAATCCGAAAGGAGTACCTCGTCAACCCGGTTGGTTAGTGGCGGTCATCAGAAGGGCGATCTGAACGACATGACGTGCAAAGCCAAAGTATTCGTGTGCATGCGATGTGGTGCGTGGGCCCAACAGCGCTTCAAGTTCAAGTTACGTGTGCAATGTACTTGGCCAGCGAACAAGGGACGTGGAGTACTCATGAACTTGCGGAAGACATCGGGTCGCATAAGAAGCTAGCCAAGCACATCGTTGCCAGCCTTCCAGGCCATCAATAGCAACAGTTTCTAGTGGCCGCAGTACCTGATCGAGGACCTGCACCTGAAGGACCATATGACTTCGAGCAGCGCATGGCAAGGTTGCATGAAAGGACCCGCGCAAAGGAGGAAACGGCGAAGCACCAGGCTGACGACGACAACACCATGACCGGCAACAGTGGCATCCTGAACGCTGCTCCGAGGAGGATGATCGTCGGCAAGACTCGTATTACAGATCAGCGGGCTGTTGGACTTCAGCGGGGTGAAGAAATACCCCCTGCCAGGCGAGGGGTTAGGCCTGAGGAGGCAACGGGCTGGACCCCTGCCAAGCGAGGGGGCAGGCCTGAGATGACGGCAGGAAGCCGTGCGAGAGGATCTTCTGCAGGAGGGGGCGTGACAGACCCCAGCAGCACGGTGGAAGCTCCTGACTGGCCCAGAGCGCATGGCGCAGCGGAAGACAGGGGCTCGGGCCCCGACGAGACGGCTCACAAGGCCCCAGGTGCCAGCGGCAGCTGCACCTGGCGCGGGAAGGTTGGTTCGCCCGACCGCGGGGATCGCCAGAGCTACGAACACAGCGAGGGGTGCGGTCAGGGGGCCTCACCGATGCGGGAAGATCGTGGGCATGATGAGCACGGTGCAGAATCCCCTGCCAGGCGAGGGGTTAGGCCTGAAACGTACGAGAGCCGCGGCATGACCGCGGCCAGGTCCCCTGCCAGGCGAGGGGTTGGGCCTGTGGTGGAGACAGTGGGCGCAATGGCTGCAAGTTCGCGAACGACGACACCAGCTCCAGTGGCCAAGTGGACTCGCACGACAATGGACGACGAGGACGACCCGTTCCACCAGCTCGGCGAGGACGAGAGCCCGCTGGACACGGACGGCTGGACCGCTCCCCTGCGTGGCGAGGGGGTAGGCCACGAAAGGGAGAAGTCGAGCAAGCACAGCGAGTTCGAGAACTCGAGGAATCGCACGACGCCGTCGACTCCGACGGCTACCTGGTCGTGGAGCTCGACGTCGCTCCGCTGAGGGGGACGCCATGCTCGTGAGCGCGTGGGGGCGCGGCCGCATGCCGCTGCCGTCGCCCGAGGCAGGACCCGCGGTCTCGCGGAGCGTCTTCTTCTTCACCACCACCACCACCATCATCATCATCATCATCAGCAGCAGCAGCAGCATCAGCATCAGCATCATCATCATCCTCATCATCATAATCCTCACCATCATCAACATCATCATCAGCCTCATAATCAGAATCGTCATCATGTTCATATTCATATGCATCTTCATCACCACTACCACCACCATTAGCATCATCATCAGCATCGTCAGCATCATCACCATCATCATCACCATCATCGACATCATCACCAGCATCCTCATCATCATCGTCATCAGCATCATCAGCATCGCCAACATAATCGTCACCTACGTCATCGTAATCACCATCATCATCATCCTTGATGCATTGATGAATCATCAGCATCAGCATCGGCAGCTTCAATATCATCAACATCGGCGTCATCATCATCATCATCACCATCAACAGCATCATCATCATCATCATCATCATCATCATCATCATCATCCGCATCATCATAAGCTCGGCATCGTCATCGTCACCATCACCAGCATCAGCATCAGCATCACCATCATCATCATCAGCATGATCCTCGTCATCATCATCATCATCAGCAGCAACATCAGCATCGTAACGTTCATCACCATCAACATCATCATCATCATCATCAGCATCATCATCCGCAGCACAGACAAGCGGCAGCGGCCGCCACTCCTCGGCGTAGAAGAGGTCCAAGTCCTGCTCTCGCGCGCCCCGCACGGGAATCGCAGCCCGATGCCCCAAACGCTTCGTTCGCAAGGGGAGAGCTCCCTTTTTCCTGAGTCAGGCTCAAGGACGAGACCGTGCCCCAGAGCGTACAGACTAGGCCTAGGCTGGACAGTCCAGAAAGTAAGCTACACACAACGCATCCATAGATTCCACCGCGCCAGAACTCCCCAATCTTCTTCCGCCATAGGTTGCACCACCCCAATCCGCCATACCATACATCGTATCGTCTTGGGTTCCCCGATGTGATGTTCATCAATGGTAGTATACATGCGCCAGATAACCAACACGCGATGTACCAGGTTGCGCCACAGGCTGCGGCAGGCACCACGCCACACAACCCAATCGCGATGTGAGTCCACCTTCTGTAGGTTCTAATTGCGGCAGACACAGCTTCACATGACCAAATAGCTATCTCTCGGTGAGCAAAACCTTCCATTGGCCGCGCCAAGTGTCGCGCTATTAGCTTGCGGAAGACACCCCGTCACAAAGCCGAATCAACATTCCACATGCGAGTTTACCTTCCATGGGTTGTATCATAGATTGCGGCAAACACCGCCACGCCACCCGAATGTGAATCTCAGGACCGCACCCTCCCATCGGTTGCGGCGTAAGCCGCGCATAGGTTGCGGCAGACACTCCGTCACGTAAAAAGATCGATCGCGAGTTCCTTGGTGAACCTACCTTCCAGACATTGCGCCAAATACTGCGGCGGGCACCGGCCCGTGATTTCCGGGGTAGGACCTCCTTCCGCGTGTTGCAGCAATGGATTGCGGAAAACGCCGCGACACACAACCAGATCGCGATTGCCATTTGAATTCGCATTCCATGGTTTGCGCCATTGGTTGATGCAGACACCGCGTCTCAAGACCGAATCGCGATTCAGACGTGAGTCTGAATTTCATGAGTTGCGCCTTCATGCTGCGTCAAACACCGTACCACTCCACCAAATCGGACTTCCATGTGATTCCACCTGACATAATTCAGTCAATAGGCTGCGCCAAAAGGTGACGGCAGGCACCCCGCCACACAACCACGCTGCGACTTCCAGTGTGGGCGAACCTTGCATCCATTCGCCACCATGCCCTGAGGCACGCGTTGGATTGTCCTCAGGTAAAGGCTGCAAAGAGGTACTCTGTCGACGCGCCAGTGACGCGAAGCCCCTAATAAATTAAACAAAAAAGGCAAGTCCAGGAATGTCCTCAGGTCCATTGGCGTTCTCAATTCAGAATCCTGAGTGAATCGATCTTAAGGGGCCCGATCCCAAATTGCCAGATGTCTCGGGGTGCGTCGCGTGCCTCTCGGGGCGTGCCGCGCGCTGTAGCACGACTTGTTCCTAACCAAGGGGAACCCAAAAACGGGCCAAGAGGGCCGCAAGACGGTCCAAGACGGTCCAAGAGGGCCTAGAGTCACCACAGTATCGCTCTAAGAACGAGATGGCCCCTAGACGGCCAAAGACGCCCAAGAGTGTTCCGAGAGCACTTACAAAAGGGCCCCGAGAGGCCGACATCATATGGGAATGTTCCTTCGGTGGTCAAACAAGTTTCACGTTCTAGCCTGTTCAAATTTCCGACGCTCGAAGACGGCCCACAATACCCCAAGATTACCAAAACGACCTGAGAGGCCCCCTAAGAGGAAGCCCAGACGACCCAAGAGAGCTCCCAGACGGCCCAAGAGGCCCCCCGAAGAGGCCCAGGAGGACCCCAAGAGGGGCCCAAGAACAGCTCCAGAAAGGGGAAACACGAAACGGCGTCACGATCCCTCCACCCCAAGAGGACTTCCGAGACCGCCAGCAGGCCTCCAAGAAGCCCTCCAGAAGCTCCAGGAGGCCCCCAAGAGGACCAAATTAGGCCCTAGAGGCCCCCCAAGAGGCCCCCCAAACCGCATCCAGAAGACTTTCGAGAGGCCTCCCGGAAGATGCCCGCAGGCATCCAAGAGGCCTCTGATCTACAACCAGGGCACGGTGGCGAAATGTTCCGAAGCCACACACTATACGTAATACTCTAACCACGCACGCGCTTCGCGCGCTTAGATTCCCCTCCCCCATTTCTCCCCCTGAGGGTCCTCCACTCCGTCGTCCAGAAGATATTCGGCACCCCTCCGCGCATTGTTTCTTTACACATCAGAGTCCCGGGAACTGGGTTTCCGCGTAGTTGTTCCCAACCATCCTGTGGTGTTGGGTCCTCGTTTTGAAGAGTCGTCGCCCCGCGTTCTCCTCCTCCTCTCCTCTCCTCTCCTCTCCTCTCCTCCTCCCCCTTCTCCCTCCTCCATCACCATCATCACCATCACCATCACCATCACCATCACCATCACCATCACCATCACCATCACCATCACCATCACCATCACCATCACCATCACCATCACCATCATCATCATCATCATCATCATCA